TCCAACAACTTAAATTCACTGTCAGTGCAAACAGTCCCATTTATGGGGAAAGTCACATAAAATAGCATTCAGGTTTACAAAAGTAAGACAGAATTAACTGTAAAAGAGATGCATGAAAGCCTGTGTCTAAACTCCTCTATGCAATGATGTAAAAAGATTCTATGTTGATAGTCAAAGTTGCATTTTCATGTCTTCAAGTTATGATAAAGAGTATGCCTGCAAACAGCTGTATGTGGAGAGAAGTGTCTGCTATTATGAGCAGGTGGTTATAGGATCAGGAGCTGGGACCATGTAGACTATAGGAATGATGTGTAGGCAGGATGGAGGCCATCATAGAGGTAGAAGGACAAGAACAGAAGTAAGGTGTGGATCAAACTAGACCAACTGATGACATTTAATTCTGAGCAACCCGGACTTTGAGAGATTTTTAAAAAGTAAAAGGGAAGTTTACCAAGTAGCAGAAGAGTTTCTCTCATAATCATGGTATATCTTTGAATCCTGAATAGATCGTCCTTTTTGAGTCAAAGAGTAGCTACCCAGTTCTGAAAGTAAAGGGTGATTTCTGACCTGAAGGACAGTTCTGGAACATTTCATAGAGAGATAGATCCTGGGGAAGAAAGTAAAACTTGGGAGTGGAGTTTAGGATGGAAATTTTCTAAGCTGGGATAGAGATAGAGTGAGGAAAAATCATTGTGTTCTATCTTTATGAGGGCTGTCCAGAAAGTATCCAGCCGTTGTTAATATAATAAGAAAGGTTTACATGGCTGGATATTTTCTGGACAACCTCGTATACTTTTGTCTCTTGAATCTGGACTCTTAAGACTCCAGGAATGTGAACTGCTTGCTCAAGTGTTGGATTGAAACTATTCTCTGCCATGGACTAGACCCTTATGACTTGGCAAGGGGACTGGTATACAACAAGGGCAGGTCACCTGGGTCTGGATTTGAGGGGAGATATATATATAATTCTCTTCCTAAACAATTGACAAAGTTTTGGACACAGGATGGATAATTGGACTCATTTATGCTGTGAGGAATGGGAGAAGGAAGAGAACAGGGATTGTTTCTACCTTGGACCTCACTAGTAAAGGGATGAGTGGGTCCCTTTCTGGCCTAGCTGGTGGGGGCAGCTGCCTGAGGGAACATCTGTGATCTGGTGACTGCAGGAAGAAATTGTGGCTGGTGCAGAGCACCGATCTGTGCTCCAGAGACAGACATTGGCCCAGGCCCAGGCAGCACCATGAATTAATTTGAGAAAATCTGTGGGAGATTAATAGATATGCCAGAGTTTTCTTAGCTACTTCATGACTGTTCTAGAATGAGTACTAAAGTCATTTAATCCATAGTGAATAATTAAAACACACACACACAAAATACTTTATAATACAAGTGAATATACATGATATACTCATGTGACTTACAAAAAGCGATAGTAAAAGAACATCTATATAACTGCCACTTAGTCTAGGAGACAAAAATATCTCCACACACCTTGAATTAGCTATGATGCCATTCTGATCACATCTTTCCCCACCAAAGAAAACACTTTCCATGATTCTTTTACCACTAAAATCGTCTGTGATTTAGGGAGGATATATGATTTCTCATAGTTTTCAATTTAAGTATTACAGATAATCAAATGCTTCACTTCACTTTTCCCTGTTTTTTATCACATGCCCATTAGAATTCACCCCTAAGACCTTGACATAAAATTTAACTCAAAGGTAGAAAAAGAGGACAATAACTGCCACCCAAGACAGAGCACACTCTTTTCTACTGTGCTTTTCCTCAAATGCATTCAAAATTGTGAAGGTGAATTTTATTTTCAAAGGTATGATGATCATGCTTTACATGGTACTTATATTATTCGATTAAGGGAAGCAAGACTGTTTTATCTACTTATTAATTCTTCTTTTTCATTGGAGAATTAAGCCCCTGGTAATTCTCAAAAGGTTCTTCGATCAGAGCTGGAGAATGGAATGGAAAGGAATTAGCATCTGAAGGAATAGGTGGCAGAGAAAGATGCCAATGAGAATTAAAAATCAGTTAGCTCAATTTAAATTATTGTACCACATCTTATTCTTCTTTTACTCACAAAAAAAATTATTTAGATTTTTCCTTGCGCCTGGAATTCTGTGTATTGGTGGAGACTTACAAAACACAGTGCAATGAGTTGGGACTAAATTCCCTAGAAAAAAATGGATGATGAGAAAGCTTCTGTGTCTTAAAAAAAATATCCAGCATGATCTTTATAGATCCACTCCAAATCTAGAATTGAATACTGTCATGGGCCGAATTGTGTCCCCACAAAATTCATATGCTGAAGTCCCTCAGAATATAACTATATTTAGAGATAAGGTCTTTAAAGAGGTGATTAAGTTCAAATGAGGGAATTATGATGGGCCCTAATCCAATATGATTGGTGCCCTCATAAGAAGAGGAAGAGACACCAGGGATGAACACACACTGAGAAAAGACCACAGAAGGATACAGTCTCTCAAGGCCATCTGCAAACTGAGGAGAGAGGCCTTAGCAGAAACAAACCTTGCCAGCACCTTGATCTTTGTTTTCTGCTTTAAAAAAAAAAAATCAACAAAATAAAATGCATTGGTATCTGCACAATCAATATTCCTCATTAATCAAATGTTCATCAAAAATGATGGCTTTAGATACAGTTTTGTTGAAACAGATTTCAAGAAATATGACTTTCTCGGGCACAAATTCTCATAGAGTTTTGCTCCAGTGTACATAAAGCTATTCTGAGTAATCTTCAACATCCATGTTTTCCTAGGGACTTCTAACTCCCAGAACTGTGAGAAAATAAATCCCTGTTGTGTAAGCCATCCCATCTGTGGTGTTTTATTATGGCAACCCTAGCAAACTAATATAAATACATAAAGTGAGAGGCACTTCAGAAAGACTTTACATAGGTTAGATTATTGCCAATTAATTTCAAAATGTGCTCTTATTATGCATGTCCTTAATTCTTTATTTGCTTTTCCCTCCATACATTCAGATTTAAATTTTTTAATCTAGTTGTAATTCAGCTGCATGCACACCAGGTGGCAAGCATGTTCTTAGTCTCTATTTCTCATTTGTACAGGATGAACTTGGTTCTAAAACAAAATGACCATAATGCGCTTATGTTTCGCATGTTCTGTCAAAGCATGGGCAGAAGCTTAGATTGCCGGGACAATAATGTGAACATATGCATCATGAATGAGATTCTCCCTCAAATGAACCTTCTAATTCCATTGTCAGACACAATAGAATTGCCTGACTACTCTCTTTGTTCTCCAAAGGATCTATTTATTCTATGCAATTTTAAAAATAGTTTTGCAGCTGCAACACCATAAACTATTCTTCAACCTTGATATCTTAACACATGCCACTGAAAAGTATTTATAATGTGTTTTTATATCTTCCAACATACAATTAATCATTTCATTGATAGAATACTTAATATTTTAGGGGTTAATTTTTAGTAGTAGTAATTGAAAATGGCAGCAGTACACCAAAAGCTTCATCCACTTTGTTGCTTTTGACCCACATTCCAGGATATTAAATTGTTTCCCCTAAATCATAAACTTAATGCAACTGGGATTTTAAAGAATGTACATTGACTTTGTTCTCTGCTTTTTAAAAAAATCAACATAATAAAATCCCTTGGTATTTGCACAATCAATATTGTTCATTAATTACATTGTCATCAAAAATTACTGTTTTAGAACCAATTTTATCTGTTGGCACAGATTTCAAGAAATATGCATGACCTTTTCAGGCAAAAATTCTCACAAAGTTTTGCGCCAGTGCACATAAAGCTGTTCTAGGTCGTTCTCAACATCCATGTTTTCCTAGGCAAGGGTGTGTGTGCATGTATATGTATGTGTGTGTGCATGTGTGTGTATGTACGTACATGTAGTAAGCTTAGAATAAAGTCGGTGGGCAATGAAATATTAGTAGAAAACTAGGAAATATTATATTGATAACAGAGAAGAAAACTAAACACCCTGCATACTGGCCCTTATCACCTCCCTGATAAAGAGAGAAAGGGCTTGTTGAAGCTCACTACAGGACCCAGAAATTACAGGTACAGTTTGAAATTGTTAGTTTTTTGCTTATTCTCCCTTAAGTCACTAAAGGTTAGAAGGGAGTGATTCTCCTTGGACTTACTATAGTCACTCATAGAAGGAGAGGTATAGAAATTAAGACAGTCTTGCTTATAAGTGAATGGAGAATTGGAGCTCCATTTATCATCCATTTATTAGGAGGGAGGACAAGCTCTTTTTTATTCAAGAACCTAAAGGAGAAGTGATAGGACACTGAGGGGGGCTGAGGGTCCTTCATGCCCCTTGCACATGAACTTCAAAGTCCAGGAGTCACCTGTGTCATAGAAGCCACCGAGTCCTATACATCAGGAAAGAAAGGCCAGGAGCAGAGGCCACTCCAACACCAAAAGTTGAAAGCTCTCTCAGGTAGAATGGCATTTTGTTGTCTATTCTTTGCCTGTTTCTACACTTCAGATGACCAGTGGCTAATATTCTAGTTGAATATTTATATATATTTTCATGCTTCAGGGGAATACACTCTCAGGTGAACATGAATCACCCTGTTGTAGGGAACTATGTTAAACCAAGACCTTTGCATGAATCTAGGTCATTATTCTTTAGAGCTGAGTACTCGAGATAAAGTGAATACTGTCTCCTTACATTGTAGTGAATTTTCAGTGAAATAAAACTTCAGAGTCTAGTAAGAAAAAGTGGAAATTGCAAACTCCCCTTCATTTAATTGATATCTGTCTAGAAAGTGTTGTTGAATGTTTGCTCCGTGCAAAGCACTTTACTAATACTTCACGCCAAATTCCTAGGGCTTCTCTTTCTCTCCCTTTAGCTTTATCTCTCTCTCTCTCTCTCTCTCTCTCTCTCTCATGTGTATATTTGCGTATGTGCATATGTGTGTATATGTATATGTGTGTTTGGTGGAGTTTGATGGGTCATTTATCAATTTAGTGTTTGTTTTGTTTTAATCATGGGAATGGTTACACTAAAGGAGTACATTGAAGATTACATGCTCAAAAGAAAAAGAGCCCATATACATACCAGGTCAGATTTTTCCTTTTCTACCTCTTTGAAAAAAATGCAATGTCACAATTCTCAATAAGAAAAGCTATCAACAAAGAAAAAAAATTGGCATTTAGTATTATCCAATACTGGAGATTGTTTTACTAGATAACAAAATCAAGATTATAGTTCTGTATAAATTACCAGTTTTCCCAGGGCTCTGAGAATTACTAAGCATTATCAAATTAAATCATCACCAAGACATTGTGGGGTATGTATTGTCATCTTTATTTTACAAATAAAGTGGGAAAATTGAATACACCTGAAGACATGGAATTAGTTGCAGAGCCAGGATTCAGTAAGTCCATGCTCTGTCTCTCATCAAACTAAGTGTTTTTCATTACTGTGGACAATGTTTACAAATCAAAGGTACAATTTTGTCACACAGATTACTGTATCTGCCTATTGTTTCAAACAACATATGAATGTCAAGTATTATAAACATATTACCATAACTCTAAATAGTACTTTATATTTTTATGATTATGTGCTTTATTGATAGCATCACCTCTAAAACATCATCTCTTTTTTAAAATATAAAAAAGATATTTTTTATATTCTAATCTGTGAATCAGATTAGAATTCCTTATGGTAACTGGCAACAATTTCATTAAACATAAGATTAAATAGTTCATTTTTTAAAATTCTAATTAAGTATTCATCTACAACACTTCAGAAATAGGCAGGAAATTAAAATAGCTTTATAATTTAATAACAAAACTGCAACAAATAGTATGTTCAAACAATTTTAATAATAAAATAAAATTATCATTTTATTCAAATGGTAATACCATTTGTGATTCTCAAATGTTTCTTCTCAGGGACATTACCATTTGAATAAAAATGACTATTCAACAAATTCTCAATCTTCACTCAGTCCTCACTTTTTGTTTTTTGGATTGAAAAATGCTTCAAAGCTTCAAATCCTTTAACCACAGTAGAAATCAATCTAATTTCAGTACAACAATACTATTTTTCATTACAGTTGTTACTTCACTATTTTGCCTAATGCAATACTTGAAAATGAATGTCTCCTTTGCTGTGCAGAAACTTTTTAGGTTGATGTAATCTCATTTGCCTATTTTTGTTTTGGTTGCTTGCTCTTTTAAGGTCTTACACACAAAAAATCCTTATACAAACCAGTATCTTGGAACCTTTTCCTTGCGTTTTTTTATAGTAGTTTCATAGTTTCGGGTCTTAGATTTAAGTTTTTAATTCATTTTGATTTGATTTTTGTGTTTGGCAAGAGATAGGGGGTCTAGTTTTATTCTTCTGCATATGGTTATTCAGTTTTCTCAGCACTATTCTTTCCTCATTGTATGCTCTTGGTGCCTTTGTCATAGATGACTTGGCTATCAGTGTGTGGATTTATATCTGGGTCCTGTATTCTGTTTCATTGGTCTGTGTTTCTGTTTTTATGCCAGTATCATGCAGATTTGGTTATCATAGCTTTGTAGTAAATTTTGAAGTCTGATAGTGTGATGCCTCTGGCTTTGTTCTTTTTGCTCAGGATTGCTTTGGCTATTCAGGGTCATTTGTATTTCCACATAAATCTTAGGACTGTTTCTTCTATTTCTGTGAAGAATGTCATCAGGATTTTGATAGAGATTACATTGAATCTGTAAATTGCTTTGGGTAGTATTGTCATTTTAATAATATTAATTCCTCCAATCCATGAGCATGGAATATCTTTCAATTTTTGTATTATCCTCTTTATTTTTTCATCAGTTTTTTATAGTTTTTCTTGTATAGATTTTTCATTTTCTTTGGCTAAATTGATTCCTAGGTATTTTATATTCTTTGTAGCTATTATAAATGGGGTTGTTTTCTTGATTTCTTTTTCAGATTGTTTGCTGTTGCCATATATAAATGCTACTGATTGTTTATGTTGAGTTTATATCCTGCAACCTTACTGAATTCATTTATAAGTTCTAACAATTTGTGATAGAGTGCTTAGATTTTTCTAAATATAAGATCATGTTGTCTATGAACAGTGCTAATTTAACTTCTTCCTTTCCAATTTGGATGCCTCTAATTTCTTCCTCTTGCCTAAGTGAAGAGACAACCCACAGAATGGGAAAAAATATTTGCAAACTATCTATAAGGGATTAATAACTGGAATGCATAAGGAGCTCAAACAACTTAATACCAAAAAAAAAAAAAAGAAAGAAAAAAGAAACACAAGTAATCTGAATGAAAAAAGGGGCAAAAGATCTGATTGGACATTTCTCAAAAGAAGACATAGAAACAGCAAACAGGTATATAAACAATGCTCAACATCACTAATTATCAGAGAAATGCAAATCAAAACCACGATAACATGATATCTTATTATCTTTATCACAGAGGCAATAGCAAATGCTGGTAAGGGTGTGAAGAAAGGGGAACACTTGTACACTGTTAGTGGATTGCAAATTAGTACAACTACTATGGGAACAATATAGAGGTTCCTCAAAAAACTAAAAATAGAACTAACATATGATCTTGCATTTCCACTACTGGATATATATCCAAAAGAAAAAAATAAATATATTGAAGAGTGTTTATTGCTATTCCCAGTAGTCAAAAAATGAACTCAACTTAAATGTTCATCAGTAGATGAATGGATAAAGAAAATGTCATATAGATACATACTGGAATATTATTCGTCCATAAAAAAGAATGACATTCTGTCATTTGCAGCAACATCGATAAAACTGGAGCTTATTATGTTAAGTGAAATAATCCAAGCACAGAAAGATAAATACCTGATGTTTTTCTTATATGCAGGAGCTAAAAAGTATATCTCATGAAGACAGAGTGTAGGGGTGGTTATCAGAAGCTGGGAAGGGTAGAGGATACCATATATTTGTACCCACTAATAAACTTCTCTCCTGAGTATTTGATAGATCAGTAAGGCAAATGTAGTTTACATTAATCTATTCTACACTTCGAAATAGCTAGAAGAGAATAATTCAAATATTTCAGCATAAAGAAAAGACAGATATTTAAGGTGATGGATATTGATTGTACACTGATTTGATCTTTAAAGTACACTGATTTGATCTTTAAAAATTATATGAATGTGTTGTTTTTTCACATATTTCAAAACTATGTACATCTATTATATATCAACAAAAAATGTTAAGAAATTGACAAGGATATAAAAGATCTGAATTATATAATTAAATCACACATCAAAAGAAATAATTACCACAGATTAAATATATATTAATATTTATAAAAGATACTCATTATTTTAAAAAATGAATATCTACTATAAATAAAAGTAAATAATTCTTTATACTAGGACTTAACTGCTTCTGTATGTATTTTTCATTGCCCTACAATGAAACTGCTTCCTGAGGGGGAGTTTGTCTTGTGATTCTCCTATGAATGATAGAGTGAACATCCACATAGTTGCATAAGAAAAAAGTCAGATGAAATGACCTATGAAATGACTCAGTGAATTCATCGCTTGGGGTTGCTTTCCTCAAATGAACAGTATAAATTTCTATCTTAAACTATGCCATGTATCAGAAGAGAACATGAAAATAAAGATCTGGTCCAAGGCCAGTCTATAAAACATTATGGATATATATATATATATATATATATACACACAGATATATATATACACACACACATATATAGAGTATATGTATATATACATATATATGTATAATACATACATATATGTATATATACACATATACAAAATGTAATTCAAAAGTTTGTATAAAATTTCTTTCATCTGTGTAATTTCTTTTCACTTTATTTGGATATTTCTTTTTAGGAATTTCAACTTGAATTCAGATGTATATGTTTCCAGTATATATGAGTTCTTCTAAAGATATGATAAAAAGAAAACACAAAGTCTTCTCTGACCATTCAGAGCAACAAAGGACAACATTTAAAATTATACTCATAAGTGATGGTTAAGTATATTTTAATGAAAAAAGTAGAACTTCTTTTAAGGAAATTTCTACTCTGTTCTGAAAATCTTCCCTTTGTGAACCCTTGAGTATTTTAAAACATTTAAGAAACTGCCCCTCTCATTTATATTTTAATAAGAAAATTTTGGCTTACCTTTATTTAGATCATCTGTCTATCCAATGTGTCATCACTTTTGAGAAGCAATATATTGTAGTAACTCCTGACTGCAGAGCAGTAATTTCAAGTCTTCAGGAGATGAAAAACAAAGAAAAAAAAAAAGAATTGGTATCTCTGAGTGTCATGATTAATTTAAAGTTTCTCCCTAGACATTGCCTCATGTCAACAGATCTTCTTTGCTCTTAATACAAGCTATAAGAAGTACTTTATGACCTAGATAAATACACACATATCCCAGTAAACAGCCAACCTGATGAAATCAAGCCTGGGTTTAAGCAGTCTATACCTAGGCAGAGACAAGAGCTTTCAGCTGGCGTTTAAGATTCTGATGGGTGGATGTGTATTCATAAGGACACAACTAATGTTTACAAGAGATTACAGAGCCAAATTAAATAATTCATATTAAGAATTAGTAAATAGGTACTCAGATGTTAACTATTTCGAAATTGAAACTAAATAAGGAACAAACCCACAAAGTCCAGAGTGTCCTCTCATGGAGCATGGAGGTAATGTTAGCTTCCTTGGCAACCACACTTAGCAACCTTGCAGGGACGGGAGGGGGCATTTAAGAATTCAGCACGGCACACTCAGGTGATATTAAGTGATGCAGGTTTCTTACAGATTCAAGGTAGAATTGTTAGGTAGATAGGATCTTCTGCTCTTCTCCGCACAAGGGTTCCTTGTTTTGGTGCTATTTAGAGCAATTGTTTCACCTGGGAAGAAGAATAAGGGTGGGCACTCCATTTTGGTGTTGCCCCACCCTCAATCATATCCTGAGGAACTGCCACACCTGGGGAAGGAAGGAATGCTTTGTCAGTCTAGGAATTCCTCAGCCCAGGCATATTAATATTTAGAAAATGACCTAGAGTAACCTAAGGGTAATTAATATGCCATTAGCTTGAGTCTGCATTTCTGTTTACCCCCAGCCCCTAGGTGGGCTTTCTTAGAGGGACCTTGTTTAAGCAGAAGGAATTTTGAGGAAACCTGTTGATCATTTGCTCACTTCCTACACTTCCCAAGAGCCCGCCTCCAGACTGGGCTCATGAAAAGAAACAATCCAAGAAGTCAGGAGTAAAGAAGTGAGTGGGTCAGTGGGTGAGTGAGTTGGTCTTCTCCACTTGTGGAGATGGACCTGTTTTATTTCAGAATAAAGACTTCTCTTGTGAAGCTGCTCCCTGTCTGAGGTTACTCCATGATATTGGCCTTGCTGGTGATTTTTCCAAGAAAGGAGTCAGAGGACTGGGAAGATAGTCTGGGCTGGACACTTTGGTGTGTATCTCTGGTCATTCTTCAGCCAAGAACACACCAAGAACCAAGGACAGACTCCAACTCTAATCTTTGGTGCTAAAACCTGAGATTCTGACAATGTGTGAAGTGGGAACTAATTATAATATGCCTACAAGTTTATCACCCTAGAGATGCCCCAAATGGAATCAGAATCCTTCAAATTCCTTCATGTTCTTCCCCATTGGGGATACTGACGAAGGGGTAGTAACTGATAGTGACAATGTGTTTATCAAGAAGTGGTAAGGAATGATGGTGTAAAAGTTGGATATAGAAAGTATGGAGCAGGTATAGCTTATGTTATATAAGGATAATTATTTTAATTGAGAAATGAGCTACGAAATGACTAATTCCCTGATTCACAGCCATGGCTACACATTAAAATCACATGGAATGATTTGTTTTAAAAACATCCAAAGCTGATCCCCTCTACTAGGAATTCTGATTCATTTATTCTCAGATGGAGCCTGAGATTCAGTATGTAAATTATCTCTCTGCAGGGGTTTGTAATGTGCAGCCAGGAATGACAATCACTGTTCTGATTTATTGATAAACTGTTGAAAACATATCACTCCAATTTGCAGGGGAAATCTACAAGGGTGTGATTTATTTTCTGGATTTCAATAATATATTTTTTCCCTTTTCTAGATTGACTATGTATCAGCTTAATTTCATGGACATGTTGCAAGTGTATCAGGTCCAACAGGAAGGAAGGATTAGGAATGCAAATGGTAGTTTACAAATGAGGTAGTTGGCAGTTGATTGGCTCATTTCCCTTTGTGAAGAGTGATGACACAATAAAAGCATTACCTGTACTTAATAGAGACACATTTTTGCTTAATTATGAGTTAAGTGTCTCATGGAGGGAGCAAAGGAAATTTTACTTGGAAAATCAAAAAAAGATTTTGCCAAAATTGAAACTCAACTGAAGAGGTAGTTGCAAGGTAACCTGGCCAGAGAATTCAAGGTAACAGAAACACTTTGTGAAAACTATCAGAGTGTCCTCAACTATCGTGGGTGTTCTTGGACATGGTAGAAGAATGTACTGACTACAATGAACATGCCATTATGATATCAAGGGCTCAATGACAAAAACACCCTTTCAACATGGTCAATTCTTTGGCTGATTTTTGAGAAATTATAGGATTTTTTGTTTCCTAATAGCATTTGACCTTGTATAGGGTGAAGTAGTATCTTTCATTCTCTAAGAACGCCCAGCTACCATTTTTTTTTTGTCATTTTTCTTGCAATATTTTGAAAAATCTGAAAACAGAGAAAAGAAATTATACTGGGAATTTAGAACTTTATTGAAATTAACTTTAGTGGGAAGAGAGCATTGTACAAGATGATGTAATGTGTGTAACTTTTGAAAAATAAACATTTTCATCATTGATGGAGAGAATCTCCCAAGGTGAAGTTTATTATATTTGAATTTAACTGTTTGAATTTGAATTGCTGTTTTCTTTGATGAGTATCTAGATCTAGTCAGCTTAAATCTCAGAAATAAAAACCTTTTTGTGTGTGTTTATCATATCTTGCAAATAATTTTTGCACTTGTTTTTTACTTTGAAATATTTGTATTTGTAAAGTGCAGAAAGGGATGAGACTATATGCTATGATATATTGATGTTGAAACAGAAGCTTTGCTCCAATGAGCTTTGACTTTGCTAATAATATTTTCTGTTCTGTACAAACATTTAGCATGTCAAAATCACCAGTCTATGAGTTTATTTATATATGAATTCTAAACTTATGATTGTGCTAAAAAAGTTTCCTACACTCTTATGTATCCGTATTTTATTTATAAATTCATTTTAAATATCTTTAAATGTATCTTCACAAAATAATTTTAAAATATTTATTTTGTATTATTTAGAAATTTTAAATATTTTAAATACTTTAAATGTATCTTCACAAAATAATTTTAAAATATTTATTTTGTATTATTTAGAAATTGTATTAAGAGGCAGGTAGAAATGTAACCTCTATTTTCCCATTGATGTGACAAGACAATGTTTCATAGACTGAATCTTCTGTTGATCTATTGCTTACTTCTAAATGATCCATTAAACTGTGTTTATTTCCTTTCTAATATCAAAGAGTTATAATCACTATAATTTCATGTTTTAACATTTTTTACTACCTGTTTTATGCTTTAGTAAACTTTCTCATGATTTCATGATTATTTTAGTATTTACTTTTGACAAATGGGCATCCTTGGAAGATATTGAGGAGAATTGATAACACAATTATGAATTTCCTTATCTAAAACAAGCTATTTTCTGTTTATTTCCTTAACTATTCAAATATATTGTAGGTATTATATAGGCTTTACCCATATCTTCTTACACATTTTAATTTATTATATTTCTCTCCTTATTGTATATAAGATTATTGATTCCATCATGTTTTAGTTCATTATTTCTAGAAATAGTAAAATTGATCTTTATATTTATTTTGTATCCATCCTGCTGGCTTTTCTTATTGGTTCTAATTATATTTTCTTGTTCTGATACTTTTTCCTGTGCAGTGCTTTTTAAAGAGTTTCCAAGTATAAAATAAAATCAGATGCAGTCAATTAATTGGATTTTTTTTCTCTAATACTGAACTTGTGATTTTTTTTTCTTTTTTTTGTTTCTGGTTGCTTCTTTTGCATTTTTTGACATATCATATTTGTACATATTTTGGGAGTACATGTGATTTATTGATACATGTATACAATGTATAATGATAAAATCAGGGTAATTGGGATATCCATACCCTCAAATGATTACATTTTCTTTGTGTTTGTAACATTGCAATTTTTTAAATTTTTCTTATGCTACCTTGCACTGACTTTTAATTTCAGTAAATACTATATAATAATGGTACTTGTGAGCATTGCTTTATTAATCCTGATTAATGTGAACGTATGTATATGTAGTATATGCATATATGTATGCATGTATGAGAGGAAAAAGAGATTATGTGGAGAAAGAAAGAGGACTTTTGTTGAATATTACAAATGCATTTGTATTCTTTTTCTCTAACACAAACACCTGTGAAGAAACATGTGTGTGTACTCCTTTGTGCTATTATCTGTCTTTCATTGGTTAGAAGATACCAAGAATCAAGAATCATAATCTACTTGTCCATAGTATAGAACAGAACCTTGAACAAAACAAATATTCATTATTTGGGGGTACAACTGAATTTCTATTGTGTCACATATAGAAAATACTTCTTTAGAAGAAACCTTGGACAGGCAGCTTTTGCAGAAATGGAGATGCTGTTAGAAGAGAATACCAGATTCCAGAGGCTTAAGGGATCTGCAAGGATCATTATGTAATCCAGAAGAAAAAACAAAAATATACTGTTATGGTACCAGAATGATCTTAATCTTCATTTTTGAAATTATATATATATGTTTTCACATTCTTTTCAAGTTGCCACAGGCTATCAGGAATCACCTCATACCAAGGTGTTTATAAACATGTTATTCAGCAATTTAGAACAGGCCACTCAAAGTATGTACTATTACTCTGCATCTTCATGATCATTGTAGTCAAATGTGCTATAATCATACACACTGAAAGTTGACCCATAGCTGGAATAATGATGGCCATTTGCAATCGCAACATAGTGATCATTAGAGTGAATTTTCTTTGCTTACCTTCACAAGAGTAACCGCAAAAGCCACACCAGACCATTAATTCAAAGAGACAACACAATGGTGTCCCTGTGAGTTTTCCCCACATACTCAAGTGTTCTTTCAAGCCATCTATAATCTGTTAATGACACTACCTTAATGTGGTGCTGTCCAAATATACCATACCTTTCGCCAATAGCAACAAATCCCTACATATGAGGCTGCCAATGTAATATAAGAATTCCAGAGTCATTTGAAGTGTATAAATTGGCTACTTACAAAAATAACTCATATTACATTTCTTTTGGTTGAATTATTTCAGAATATGTGCTTAACTCTTACTGAAACAACTCTTTCTAGAGGGAAAATAAGGGAGGCTAAAAATGGGGAGCTACAACACAAAAGACAAAGAAAATGTAAAGTCTTAATATTATTTTTAAAGACAAATAACTTTGTTTTAATGCAAGTGCCTTGCCATGAAGGTACTAAAGCAGCTTTCAGGCCCCATATTTTCATGGACTCATTTCAAGGTCCAGGTAGAGACCCAAGCGGTGCATGGTGTGGCCATCAGTCTTTATGTACAATTTGTAAAAGTGTGATATCTTAACCATACTTGGCTACCTCTGCCAACTCCTTCCATCCGACTACCTCCACTTGCTTTCCTGCTTCCTTTCTTGTCCACTGATGTTGGCATGACTGTAGGTATTACTGAAATCACAACAAGGCAAAGGGTGATTGGCGGGTACACTCAGTTTGGATTTAGTGGAGTATATTTACAGGGTTCATAGTCACTTTGAGTATAATTAACTTACTGCTGGCCTTGCCAGTGTGGCAAGGGCTTCCAAAAACATGTCTACACTTCCTGTGCCAACCC